CGAAACTACATTACCGTCCATTGATTCGAGAAAAATAAGACAATATTTTTTCTTTTAGAATAAATTATTTGAGGATCGAAATTATATCTCTTGATATGAGATATATATACTAATTACTGCTAAGTTAGGTTCGTTTTAGCAACAGATTCTTTAATTCTCTCTTTTTTTTTAATTAGTATAATTCTCTCTTTTTTCTACGACATAGTCTAGTGATTTAAGATATCTTGTTTCTTATCAAGGAGTGGGAGTTCCTCCTATATTTGATATACTCTTTTTTTTTAGACTTTTAGATTCAACTCACGAGTAAATTCTTTTCTATTTAACTGGAAAAAAAAAAGCTTTTTGAATAAAAAAAATTGAGACAATTACATGAATAATATAAAATAGATATGGATTTTTAAATATAGCATAATGTTTAAATTAAAAATATATATCATTACTATATCAATGCTACAAGGGTAAATTTGACATTTTATAATTAGACCTCCATTTTTTTCTAAAAATGTTGCTATATTACAAATCTAAAATATAGATGTTAAATTTGTTATTTCTTTGAATTTTTTTACCATATTTGTAACTACCCCAAAGTATATTAAAGTTACGTTGAGCGAACTTCTTTTTTGTTTTTCCGCAAAGCCAAATTGGGTTTTTAGATTCTCTTCCCTATGGAACTTACAAATTTCTTAAAAACAAAAATATTATTAACAATATGCTAATTGTGTAATAAAAAACAACCACGGTCCATTCAATAAATATGATACAATATTGAATATTGTATTTTTACTAGAGGAGAATTTTACCAAATAGCTCCTTCAATAATATTGTATTTTACTCAATAAATAAATAAATATTGTACAAAAAAGAAAAGTCAATAACGTAAACAATTTAACTAGTTTTGCTAAAAACATTGCAGTAAATTTAAGAGAACCACGAAACCGTTTTGTGATTAAATTGAAAACAAAGAGATTTTTTTTTTAAAACGAAAACAAATAGTTAAAACTTAGAAAAAATAAGTATTAAATAAAGTAATAAATCCTCATGAAATAGTAATAGTAACTGAACTAATGTTAATATCACTATAAAACAAATATTAATTTCAAAAAAATCCAAAAAATTATTTAAATTAATTAATAAATATTTTATTTATTTTTAGTACAACCGTATAGGAGGGAGATTTTGAACTCATCTTATAGTACGAAATATATGTGTTATGCTTTGATTAATTAAAAAAATGTTATTAGTTAATACTAATCTTCACATGCAGACACATATTAGTACATCTCCATCTATGGATATTATTTTGTTGACAATGACATCTTACATATTTATGAATATTATAGCGCCTTAATTGATTGAAACATATTATTAAATATCAGTAGTTGGGAGAAAAATCAATGTAGGATGTAGTGAAAACAATAAATCAAATAATTAAAACTATCCTTAAAAAAAAAAAAATATATATATATATATATAACCATTCAAAGCCAACTCATTTAGAATCCAACTCTCTTGAGACGATTGGACTTTTTCAATCGATAGCAAATAGACCTAACATAAATCATCTAGCGTATCGAAGAAGTAATTCTCATAGACGAAGTATTCAATGTAGTCTCAATTGATCATATTGCAAGAGCAGCTCACACTATGTCGTATAGAACAATGAGGAAGCCACAAGACAATGGAAGAACAGAGTTCACACGCTTCTAATGGACTATAAACTCTAGTTCATAATGAATTTATGTTGAGTTAGTGTATACCTGAATGATTATTTAATGCATTATTATAAACTCTACTTCATAATGAATATGTGTTGAATTAACGTATACCTAAATGCTTATTTTTATTATTATTTTTTTTAGTGCATGATTAACAAACTTTACCTGGGATATTTTATAAATTGTAGATTAATGAAAACTGTACTTGGATTTCATCAGCATTACTCTCTAATCATTATCAATGTTTTAGAATACTAATAGCATATTGGCATCATTACATGATACCAATAAAGTTAATTTTGAGTTTGATTTCAATGGAAGATAGTACATCAAACTATAAGTGTGTATATATATATTTAAGAAAAAGATATTATTCCCTTCCAAAAGAAGTATTACTATTTAATAAACATTATACAGACAGAGGGTGTGGGGTCAGGGAGGTCTGGAGCCGTTGATGTGAGGAGGGACGGTGGAGATTCCCTGTCTGGAAAGCTCTGAGAGAACACTCTCTGTAGAAGGAGGTTTCAGCCCCAATGGAAGGGGCGACCATGGCTTCCTCATCGCCTCCTTTACAACCTTGTCAATCATCTCCTCATCCTACAAACAAATAAAATTATTTAATTATTTATTTAATCCCGTATAACTATTTCGGTTTCGGTTTTATATTTAAAAAGTAAACATATTTTCTCGTGAATCTACTATTTAAATTTGCCAACATATTAACTCGTTGGTTAAGACATATATATTCTACCAAAAAAGTCGAAAGTTATAATTTCTCTTAAAAAAAAACTTCAAATTCTAACAAAATTACAAACTTTTAAAAACTAAAATGATATTTTTAACTAAAGAAAAAAAAAGATAAAAATTTCAAAGTATTTTAACTGAAAAAATGAAAAACAGAACAAAGAAGTTCGGAATAAAAGCTTATTATTATTATTTTTAAATGAAATCATAATAAAGACCTTAATATCTTTTTTTTTTCTCCCGTAGTTCCACTTGATACAAAACACATCAAATAACAACACTTGAATTTGTATTTTATAACAAAAATGTCATATGAATATGGCATCAAATAAATATTATTAAATTTTTGCTCAAATTAATTATAAAAAATAGCAGATTTTGCATCTAAGAAGTTACATAATGTAAAGAAAAGGAGGTATATATTACTGGTTGAAGATCAAATGACCTCTGAGGCATGCCATGGCTCTTATTTACTGTATACAAATTGTGAGGTGCTGAAACATGCTGCAAATGGCCAAAAAAGAAAACTGTCATAATTACTCCAAATCAAAAGTTAATCTCAATTAAATCTGGGTAAAAAGAATAGGCTAAATAAACCAGATGGTCCCTAATATTTTAAGTAATTTTCAAATTGGTGCTTAGTCCTTAAAAATTCTCAATTATACTTTAATGTATTGATATTTTCAAATTAGATTGATATAAGTTGTATTTCGCGATATGCCACATCACTTAAGTGGCATGTCCATATTACAAATATACTAATAAAAGAACAATTTAATCAACTTTTTTTTTAACTATTTTTTATTATTATTATTATTCTTCTTTTAGGACAGCATATTGGGAGAATTCGAACTCGCAACATTGTGGTTGGAGGTATATGTCAATTACCGCTGAACTATGCTCGTTTTGGCTAACCATTTTTTTTTATTAAAGGACATAGGTGAGAATTTTTAATACACTAAGGTAAGATTAAGAAATTTAAAAAAAAAATGAAGGATCAAAATCAGAATTATCCAAAAAAATTAGGAAAAAAAAATACATACTCACATGAGGATTTGAAAAGTATGGAGCATGAGAAGGCAGCATCACAGGGCAACCCCATGCATCAGCTTGCACCTAAAACAATAAGTTTGAGCAACTATTAGCAGATTCATCTTTTCACCCCATTATATTATTTTGTTTGTTCTCGAAGGACAGTATCTTTAAACGTTTATTACATCAAAGTTTATATAGTATAAAAAAAAACTGTGTGAATTTTTGCGGTTATTCGTTTCTTGTTTCTTGTTTTTCTAATGTAGCACAAAGTTTAATTTGGGTGTCTGTGGTGGCAATCTCATTAATTTACAGTATATTTTAAAAGTGTGTTGAGAATGATAGTAGAATAAGTGATTTTGAAAAAAATAGATTTAAATATCACTATTTAAATGTTATATTAAAGTTATTTAAACTTTCTTAAAATCAATTTTTTAATTTGTCAAACACGATCAATAGAAAGGAGAGTGATTTTGACAACGACAGAAATAATTTCAACCATGCTAAAATCACTCTCAAACATTCCGTAAGAGTAGAAAACATTACCCCAGTGTAGGAATTCCATGGCTGAATTCCGGGTTGCGGCCAATGGCGATAACCAGGTGGACCCCACATGTGGACATTAGCTGGATGGCCATTGGTCTGTCTCCATGTTGGATAAACAGCGGACACTGATAATCCACAGTTAGGATGAGAAGAAGGGTAAGCCATGATAGGTTTCAAGTGATTGAATTGCATTGAACATCTTGGATGGGGCCACCTTGGAATTTCCTCTCTGTGAATGACATGTCTCTTTTGCATCCTGTACTTCTGCACGAACAGAGATAACAGAAAGCGCTAAATATATTAAATGATTCAGAATCAGTTAGGTTTTTCTCAATTTCCTCGGTAATTAATCTTTTGAAGTTCTCGATTTTACCCCTAATATATTAAAATTTCTCAATTAAGCTCTTCCACGTGAAAATATATTAAAATTTGTTGATAGAATGTTGATATCTCATTAAATTACTATATCGTTCACATATTTTGACACATAGACACGTGGCTTGGAAGAAATGAATTTTGTTGGGTGATGATGAATGGGTCGAATTCTGTGGAGTTGGACTTTATGAATTAGGTAGCATTCGAATGAGATATTATGTATCCAAATATGTTAATAATATAATATAGTAATTTAATGATATATCAACCTTTTGTTAACCAATTTCTAACCATTTTTTCATAGGACCTATAATGCGCGAGGATTTGAGATATTCAACCTATTAGAAAAAGTTCTGAAAAATGTGATCTCAATTTCGCGAGTTAATAAAGCAATTAAAAGGTGAAGTGAAGAAGAAAGTCAGGTGGGAACCTGGAGATGACTTGCAACATTGTGCCTTGTCAGACCTTCAACTTTCATCAGCTCAAGTATTTTGGAAGGAATTGCATGATCTATGCCCAACTGTTCAACTGCCTGAACGAACTTTCTATGAAGATCCGGGGTCCAGTCCACCTAACGAACAATATTAGCCAACAACAATACGCTTCTGAATCTTGAATTAGAAATCACAGTCAAACTCAAGTTTGGCATGGAATTGTAAATGTTATTATGCATTCCTTTGTAGGCAATGTTCATTAGAGAGAAACTAGAACATTTTGCCTGTTTACGTGTTTAATAAAATTTTCAATGTGAATGAAGTGACATGCTTGGATGCTAAACATACTTCCACAGAAAAGAGCCCAGCTTCAGCATGATGAAATTAGGCATTCTTTTGAAAGCAAAATTGATACGAGATCTTTTAAGACACTCCACTTTCGTTGATAGTATTTCAGACCTAAAATAAAGAACGAGTTTTCTAATCTATTGGTCATTGACCAGTAATCCAATTTTAACCTTTCCTTTGATTTGATATTGTATTGTTTCGGGGTTTCTGGGTTTGTGATCTCGGGGTTCCGCTTCAGTTCACAAAGGTTTCCATAACAGAAATGCAAAGTAATCTTTTTATTATTTATAAGCACGGCAGCATTCCAAGCTTTGGATGAAATTTCTACTCTACATATATGAACTTAGAGTAAGCAGACAGAAGAAACTTTTCAAAATTTTGCGTTTTTGAGCCGGATTACCTTTGTTTTCTTCACTTTCAGTCCAGCAGAATGGTTCACATCAGATCCTTGGATTGAGTGCTCAGCAACCGAAGGACTACTTTTGACACCAGATTTATTCTGCAAGAAATGATAAACGTCACTCTCTGCATTTTGACCAACTGCAAAGTTCTTGTATTCTTCGACCACTACCTTCCCAGATAATTGAGGTTGGCTGTCGCTCTCCGAAAGATGCTCTTCACAAACCAAATCATGTGAAGTAGTTTTGACGAGTTTAGACTGCGTTTCTTTGTCCCTGCAACCTGTTTCCCTTGAATCGTTCATTTGATCTTGGCTTTCCCAACTACATATCAACGATGCTCCCTGGTTCAGTTGTGACTTTTCACTTTCTTCCGATTGCTCCCACACAATATCCTGAACCCATGAAAGAATTTCCATATCTTCTGGAACTCCATTCTTGTCTTCATTCTCTAATTGGAGCTGCATCAAGGATGCTACGGATTCTTCATCAGGCTTTGAAGGATTGGAGAATGCCTTCTCAAAATATTGTTGGTCAATATTTTTGTCATTATATTCGGTGTTTCTGTTGCAAAACAAATGTTTCCAGTGTTGAGAAATACCTTATGAATGACATGCTGCCAAATATTCCTGAGTTTTTCCTCTGAGAGTGGTTTCAGCAAGAACTCAACTGCACCAAGCTGAACGTAAATTGTAAATCTAGGTGCATTTACTGACAATAATGCAAAAGTATAGCTATGATCTGAGCATCAATTTCTGCTGGAAATAAAACGAAGATTACATACACTAGCTTTGTTTCGAAAACTGGTTTCTCAGACAAACAAGAAAACTGGGAACTGAAACCAGTTATAGGAAAACATGTCGTGTTTTTCAGTCAATGGAATGCTTTTGGCATTTAGTCAATCTACAAAAAGTGAATCCGTATGCTGAACTAAGGATTCGTTTTAGAATTTCCAAGAGAACAGTTGACAGATTAGACTAGAATTCTTACTGCAATGCACTTCATCATGGTACTTAGGCAATGAACATCCGAAGTCACTGTGCCATATAACAACATAGTCTCAGTGTCAGAAACTGTAAAATTCCTTGAAGGAAGCTTTCAAAAACTTCCTACAATATGCTATTTGAAGCTGTTTTTTTTTTTCCCTTTTCAGACGAAACCAGTTTTGGTTGTTAACTTACTTATGATTGGTAAGTCCTTGGAAATTTCAAGCAACTTAAAACTCTCATCATAATTTCCTGTGCACACCTGTGACCAGAGATGGATCAATAATTTTAAAGATGAATATTACTACAAGAACATACGAGGAACTATCATTTCAACATAATTAGAGAACTGAAGCAGGATTTAATTTAGTCAGTTGAAAGAAACAAGCAAAAGCAATGATATTGTTGCACTAAAATGGTCCAATCATCGTGATAACTGGATATTATCAAGGAAGCAAACTTATGGAGTCAGCTTAAGGCCTAAATGCATAGTTCTATTCTGAGAGTCATCATCCATACCTCCAGAATTGCAACATGAAAGTTTCCAGGCGTGTTCAAAATTGCTGACAAAGCTTCCTTCTCATCACAGCAGGAATAAACTGAAATATGACGTGATAATTATCGAGGGAGCATTACACAGCACAGAAGTATAATCTCCATATCATAGAAAAGAAACCAAAAAGGAATAGAAAACATGGGAAAGGGATCCCAACAGTGAGAATTCAGAACCTCAGCAAATTAATTTTTTGGGAACACATACATTTGTGGAAGAGATGATGAAACTCTAAACTCTAAAGTCCTCAATGAAACTTGGAATGAGTGCATTTTCCATCTGTTTATAATACCAACTCAACCACTATAAATTTGATTGGAGGGCTTATATATAGTTTTAGTACTTGAACTTTCACTAATTTACATTTTGGTACCAAAACATTTGAAAATTTGATTTTGGTCCTCAACTTTTACCGGCAATCTAATTTGGTCCTTCAACTGATAAAATCTCAATTTTAGTCCTCAAACCTTATTAAATTCCACATTTAGTCCCTACCAAAAAACTATTATGTCTAATTTATTAAAAATGTGATGTGATTTTTCATTCATGATATTTATAATCATTCTTCCTATAGATACTAAATGTGAGATTTGAAAGGAAAAAAAATTTAAGGACAGAAAATTCCAAAAGTTGAGGAACCAAAATGAAACCATGGATAAAAGCTCAAGGATAAAATTATATCGTCTAAACTAAGAAGCTAAAGGCAGCTGAGTTCTAGATAAATATATACATGTTATTAACATCCAAAGATAAGCAAATATATTTAAAAGTGGAAGAAGATAGCAAGAAAGAAAGAAAAAGGATTTGTAGCAAAATACATTTTAGCAGGATAAAAAGCAGCGTTTGAAATGACTCACCAACATACTCCATTTCCTCAAGCCTCGATCTTATCTCAGTCGTGGAACGGCTGTCCCGATCAAGAAGAAGAACCCTTAGACCCTTGGGAAAGTCTTTCCATCCTTGTAAATCATCGGCAGTGCAAACCATAGCTGGCTTGGCATGTTTCTTCAGATCACTGCTCATCAGCAAAAACTCAAACATCTTCAAATCATTCTTGTTTGGTATGGAAATTTCGAAACACATATATAATAAACAACGAACATCAATTGAAATTTAGGACACAGTAAAAGAAATGCGTAAGGACATCTCGCTCATGAGATTGCTCGTGAAAACGATTATACATTTGAAAAAAAAAACGGCACACACATTCACCAACATTCTGATCTAGATTAACGAAGTATACTACTATTATGACGGCTAAATCCTCAGAGGAACTTGTTTTCCCAATCGGATAAGCCTCAGAAAACAACAAAACGAAAAAGGAGATAGAGAGAGCTTCAAGAACCACTTCGAAAATCAAACTCGTCACAGTCACAAGGCCAACAACACAACGCATTCGAAAAACTCTCCAACACTGACGATTTGAAATGCTAAAAGAAGTATGAGAAGACGTTTTGGAGATTACCAGGGTCATGTTTTCGCCTCTTCTTGGAACCGAGTGGTGCTTTCTGCATCTGCATAAATAAAGCAAGAAATAAAGAGGGAGAGAGAGAGAGAGAGATTGGAAGAGTACGGATGCTTACTCTGCCTCAAAGTCCATGGAAATCAATAAAACTATCTTATCTCAGTTGAGTTCCGGAAGATTACAAGAATTCTGAATAGAAGGAATGAAGAAAAAGGGAAGACGAAAGCTTACGATGAAGAATGCCGGAATTAGCCGTGCGTGAGGAACATTCTACGTAGATGAAAAAAAAATTTTCCCCCGTCCAACGATCCTCTATTTGTGGGGTTCCTTTTTCCTTTTCTCAAAAATTATGTTTCAGTTTATCAGTTTTCTTTTTGTAGCTCCTACTTTTTGTACCCCGTTCATCCAATACACACATGTAATGTTTTCTTATATATGAAAGGACACTTTTTTATTCTTTTTTTCAAATTTTTGTAATGACTTTGGCTCCGTTTTACACGATTATTTTATTTTTGGTTTGGTAATTTCAAATTTTGCACTATACTTTCGTGTTTTTTTTTTTCCGTCTGGGTGGAATTGAATCCAAATAGAACTGGTAAAATAAGTTGAGCTTTGATATTTGAGTGACTTATCATCATACTCCGCACATACCTAAGGGTAGAGTTACCTCTATTAGTTATTGGTGAACATTAATTGGGACTATATTGTTCAACCACATAAGGCAGCTACCTCTTCTAATTTGGAGTTGTAGTTAGTGGAAAGGTTAAGGTGATTATCCATCAAAGTTAGACCTCATAATGTATCTATACTTTAGATACAATGTTCAAAGTATTATGCATGAATTATCAATACGTGGCATGTTGATAGTCACCCTCCAACATGTTTGTTTTGATTCTTTATATTATTTATTAGTATGATTTTTTCAACTATAACTTCAACGCAACATAGTACTAGGTAAATTTATCGAAATCTTATCTTAATTTTGTATTAAAAGATTTATATTGGGTATAGAATTTGAGTTAGAATTATATATATATATGTCGAAATTAAAATAGACCGACGTAAAAAAAATCAAAATTAAAATATAAAAATTAAAAATGACCCTTATATAAATATAGAGAATAAAATAGACAGAAAAATTAAAATTAAAATGATACGACTCATTCGATAATATAGTCGTACGACTCGTACCCAACACTGTGGGTCGTGACCAGTGACCACCTCTGCCTTTCGGCTTTTCCAAGCCCTTCAAAATTGAACCATGTGATTTTATCTTCAGTTTTGTTTTTTTTCCCATAAATGTATTAAATTCTTTATTTTTATTTTTAAACAGTATTAAATTTATTTACTTGTGTTGCTCTTCACTTTTTTCCCCTTAAATATTATTGAATTTTTACTTTAAAAAGAAAACCACAAAAGTGGATTCATGTTTTTAGAGAAAAATTTTTAAGGCTAAATATATGGTTTAGTTTTTAATATTTAAGTTGTTTTTCAATTTGGTATTTAATGTTTTAATTCTTTAATTAATTTTTAAATAATCAGATATTAAAAGAACGACGATGTATAAATTTTAAAATAGTTATTTTTATGAGTTTATCGAGTGCTAACATTCTAATGTGTTCATATTTTATAAGAATGATAAATTACTCCAAGTCAGTCAAAACGAGCATAGTTTGGTGGTAATTGACATAACTGATGACATTTTATGAAGTAAATAAAATATTTTTGCTATCCACCATAATTGTTATTTGATAAATGTATATTATACTAAAATTATCTCTATACGGGATATACTTGATTTATTGCATAATCTTGATGTGTATCAGTATTGTCACATAAGTTAATACGTTGTATCGTATTACATTATCAATTATTAATTTTTTAATAAATTTTAAACTAGCATTCTAATATAACTTTCAATTATATTTAAACAGATATATCTGGTATAATATTTGAAAGTAATGAAGAATATGCACATTAAATTAACTATTAAATCTCGTTATTCCTTTACTTTTTTTTTTAACTAAAAAACTCATCTCTTTTTTTATTTACAAATTTGAAAAAGAATATATTACCAGTGATTTTTATTAGAAATCCAACCTAATGGAAACTCAACTGATAAAATTGACCAAAGTCAAAAACCTATAAAATTTATCCAAACCAAACGGATCGATTATTTATCATTTTATTATTTAAAAAATCGAGGCTATTTAATGTAGTTTAAACTTATTATCATTGATTCATTCTAGTAATAAAAAAATAGTTACCATTAAAGATGAGAGTAATATAATTTTTTTTTTCAACGTCTATGTACTTGGGCCAGTTCACATGTACCTTAATTACATAATAATCTTCTAATTCTACCCTATTTAATTGTCAGAAAAATTTGTAGAAATTCTCAGTAGGTGACCTATTTAAACTAATTTTCATGTAATATCATTTTTATCTTTATTTAAAAAAATAGGCTATTTTTCAATCAGAAAATTTTAATTAAAGAGAAGGAAAAGCTGCTATTAGTTCTGAGAGAGAGAGAGAGAAAAAACAACTTGCTGTTTGAATAATTCACTGTCGAACTTTAAAAAAAAAAAGATTTAATCATTGCCGGTTAAAAAAAGTTAATGTTTCTGATAGGACATCTCCTTTTTCTGAAAATTTTATGACCTTATATTAGAAAGCTAAATGTTTTTTAATTGTTATTTTATTATTTTACTTTTCCAAAAACAAACCAAAAGGCAAAACACAAAAACAAATTTTAGTTGTTTTATTAAGGTAATTAAATAGGACTTTGATTATGTTTGATGTGCCAACCGATGATGGCCATACCTTTTCCATTTTCATAATTTGAAAATTTAATTTCAAGGATAAAATAGACTTAATATAAAATTTTCTAAATTCTTATTTGTTTCATTCAATCAATAATTACAGAATCTAATAATTACTAAATAATTGTGTAAATCTAAACTTAACTCAACTAGTTAATACAACTTATGTAAAATTATTTATACTCTTCTATATGCAATTTAAAGTGATGTTTTCTTGATATATGAATAATTCACCGATCAAGTTAAACCCTCCCTCATTTCTTTGATTCCAACTATTATTGTAATCTTCCAAATTTCACCTTTTAGAAAAGTTATTAATTATTTAACTAGCTGAATTATAGTAACATTGACAGAAAGAAAAAAAAAACACTCCACAAACCTACATAAATGTGAAGTGAGAAAGGAAGAGTTGACCACCCTCAATTCTTAAATTAAAAATTATATAAAAATGTTAAAATTTTTAAGATTTTCTCTCTGATTCGGCCCTTTAAATTTTTATAATTATATATATATATAGTCCCTTATGAAAATTTTCATTCTATCTAAAATTTTAATTTCCAGATCTCAAATTTATGTAAATGTTAATGAAATATCCATAAAATATTAATATCAATAAATATTTTAAAAAATTTATAAAAAAAAGTCATAAAACATATTTAAATTAACAAATAAACATTTCACATTTTTTAAATAAGTTGAAAATGGAAATTATCAATATTATGTCTACATTAATAATATTTTATTTATGTGTGTGTATATATATATTATCGATTTTTTTACAATACTATGAAAATGTCAATGCAATCCTTGTATCAATGTCGACTCAAGGACAAATAGACACGTCGATGAAAATTTAATACTCTCATTATACTTCTAGAACTATAACTATACATATCAATAACCTTTAGTAATTAGCTCATGTGATAAGAACCTAGCGAACTTGACTTTACATATTCAAACGTTGATGTGAGAACAAAAAAGAAAAGAAAAGAGATTTGTAAAATTTAAATTTGAATATTGAAATTTAATATATCGTTATGCATACATATTTTGATGGGTCCTTACTGAGTTGGACTGTACAATGTCCATTCACATGTGCTTCTAATATCTAAGGCATAGGTCCAATGTGTAGTTATAAATGTTTACTACTATAAGAAAAAAAGAGATGCATTTAATGCCTTCTTCAATGAGCAAAGCAAAACTCTCTTTCATATCAAAGCTCACCCAACAACTTTAGGGAATTGTATCGGGAGTTTCATTACTTTTATGGTATCTACTCCCTCCATTCGTATCGTACTTTTGTTGTTAGAATTTGATTTAAATGTTGYTGATTCTGTTTTGGTTCCTTTGAACTTTTAAGATCGATTCATTTTTGTCCGTGAACTTTCAATACTTTTATTGTAGTCCTTAAATTTTATCGTGGTTTCTGAACTTTCAAAAGATTTATTTCAATATCTAAAAATTTTAAAAATATTCATTGAGAATAATTAAGTTAGCTTCCAGCGTATGCTTTAGCTTGCTAGTAGTATAATCACATAGGCTAGTTGAGACAATTATTTTAGGTGTGAGTGGATCGCAAAAGATCATCAAAATAATTATTTAATCTTTTAGTAAAATTGAACCTTAAACTTCGAATTCTCATTGGACCAAACTTTAACACAACCTTTTAAAAAATTAACTAATAAATTAATTAAAAAATAATAAACAAAATGCCCAAAATCTAACCACATAATTATATTAAAAAAAAAACGAAAGCCAAGTAACAAAAATGACAAAACCAAATCCTGCACGTACACATTAAAATAGGTTAAATTACAAGTTTGATCATTATAATTTAGACAGATTTTGAATCTAAGAGATGGAGACCATTTACGTAGGCATCAATTACAATTTTGGTCCTTATATATAGTTTGAACAAATTTTGAATAGGGTCCCTATAATTTTACAAGTTTTCATGATTTGAGTTTAACTTCGACCTGGTTACTATGATTTAAAAGTTTTAATTTGATTCTCCTGATTAGTTAAATCTTTATAAGTCATTCTTAAATTGTGTTTTACTAACTCGAAAAAGACCTACTATTTTCTATTATTTCTTTTACAAGTTGAAACCCTAATAAACTCAAACAATATGATTATTTAAATAAAAGATTGCTACATATATACATCCATATATGTGTGTGTGATAACGTACGAAGTTGGACTAAAACTATAACTAAATTTAAATCATAAAAAACTAAATTCAAAATTTTAAAATTACAGATCAAATTAATCCAAATTTGCGCCAATTTACAAAGTAACCTCAAAACATTTTGGAGTTGGACAACACTTTAATTAATTGAAGTGACAACATGTACACTTACATAGGGAGAAAAGCATAGTATGTGTGGGGAGTTGACTGATAAGATTGGCATCGCGGGGCAATTAAGTCAAGTCAAATTTTTTAAGATTGATTAATACAGTTTTAAAATAATTAAAAATAATTAAAGGTGGGGGTATTCCACATTTCCTATCTCAAGGATTTGATTGGA